TTCAGCCACTGTAAAGTGTACATCCACTGTAAAGTCTACAGCCACTGTACAGTTTACAACCACTGCACAGTGTACAGCGTCTAGTGTACCGGTTTTTCAGAACATAATGTATAGTAGATGCATTAAATGGGGATAAAACTGTTTTGCTTTCTGATCATACGTTTTCTTAATGGATTTCAGATAAGTCATTTCATCAAAATAAGTTATTGTTAGATGGTTGAATGGTTGAATGATTGGATGGTTGGATGGTTGGATGGTTGGATGGTTGGATAATTAAATGGTTTGATGGTTGGATGGTTGGATGGTTTGATGGTAAGATGATTGAATGATTGAATGGTTGGATGGTTAGATGGTTAGATGGTTGGATGGCTGGATGGTTGGATGGTTGAATGGTTGGATGGTTGGATGGTTGGATGGTTGGATGGTTGGATGGTTGTATGGTTGGATGGTTGGATGGTTGGATGGTTGGATGGTTGGATGAAAGGTTAATATTCAGAATATATTTGAATAATGATATCAAATGTAGATCGGTGAATACAGATTAGAAAATCAAACCTAGATTTTATAGCGGAGACCGAACGCAATTATATTTTCTTAATCTAGATCAAGCATATATCCCAGATCATAATGTGCATCTTAGATGTATCTGAGATATATCTTGGTGTATCCACAATTGGTTTTATCTATATAGAATGTATGTTAAAATATCCTAAAACTGATTCCGTATCTAGAAAGTATTTATGTATCATAAAACTGTATCCTGTGTTAAAATATCCTAAAAAAGAAAATCTAGAAAGTATTTATGTATCATATAAAACTGTATCCTTTGTTAAAATATCCTAAAAAGAAAATCTAGAAAGTATTTATGTGTATCCTTAAACTGTATCTTTGTTAAAATATCCTAGAACGGTGTACTGTATTTAGCAGATATTTATGTGTATCCTAAAACTGTATCCTGTATCTAGAAAATATCTTTATGTACCCTAAAACCGTATCCTGTATCCAGAATACATCTTTATGTATCCTAAAACTGTATCCTGTATCTAGAATACATCTTTATGTACCCTATCCTGTATCCTGTATCTAGAGAACGACTGTATCCTATCTAGATCAAGCCCCCCCCTTCCTGATCCTGCGATGTATGGCAATATCTAGAAATGAATTCCAATCTCTGAATAAACCTCAGACAGATCTGGTTTCACAATATGTATCTCAGAGTGCCATTTATACCTGACGTTTAGGGACAGTTCTGATACATATAGGGTGTACCAAAAAAATAGACAAAAAGAAAACTCAAAAAAATGTATCCAAAAAAATCTATTGATATCTATTTCTCAATGTTGCTGATAACTTTAATTTTAAAAGTGAAATCTTTGTACGGCTATATTTTTTAGACACTCTGTCGGTTCAGTTTCAATCCTGGAGAAGTTGGGACATTTAGGACTTCTCAATCTCAGCGAGGACGTTTAGGGTCCCCCTTATCACCGCATTTTAGACTGTTTAATCCTTATCTAATCTCAGGGTGGTTGCTAGAATAGACAAGATTGCTGACATTCATTCGGTGGTAACATTTTAAATAGGTCTGTTCAGCGTGCAATGTATCCAACCCTCCCCCCTTTCTCCTTTTTTACACCCCCCCCCNCCCCCCCCTCTCTTCTTCACCTCCATCTCCTCCTCCCTTTGTTGATAAATGGAAGAGAAACCCTTCCCCCCTCTCCTCTTTCTCCTCTTCCCTTAGTTGATAAATGGAAGGGAAACCCTTCCTCCTCTCCTCTTTCCTTAGCTGCTTTATGTAAGAAAAACCCTTCCCCTCTCCTCTTTCTCCTCTTCTCTTAGCTGATATATGGAAAAGAAACGAGATTAAAAGTCTTGTTATTTTGGTGTCGCATGTTATTAGAGTATTAATGCAATGTCACGCTAATTATACTCATTATCTTAATTACCTTAATCAATGTTAATCACCTGACCTCGGCTAAAACAAAAATGGGGAGGGGGAGGGGAAGATGTTGTGTAATGTAGATGATAAATCATTAGATTAGGATTAGTTAGTACACATATCTCTAGGTACTGGATAGAATAGGATGAAAGGAATGGTATACATATCTCTAGGTACTGGATAGAATAGAATGAAATGAATGGTACACATATCTCTAGGTACTGGATAGAGTAGGATGAAAGGAATGGTACACAAATCTCTAGGTACTGGATAGAGTAGGATGAAAGGAATGGTACACATATCTCTAGGTACTGGATAGAGTAGGATGAAAGGAATGGTACACATATCTCTAGGTACTAATTAGAGTAGGAGGAGGTTTAGCTAAAGAGTTTGAATCCATATATGGAGTTACTAATCCCAACTAAACCACAAGATTGACACTAGTCTGTGTTTTACTAATTCCAAACCTTTGCCTGAGGCAGCAACAGAGCAAACCAACACACAAACCAAGCCTAGCTCGGACTTATGCATGAATTTAATGAATGTGTTGTTGCAAGGACGTTGATTTTTATTTACGGTTTGTGTATTGTATTATAATGTACATGGAGCGGAATGCTTGTAGTGTGTATTGTATTATAATGTACATGGAGCAGGAATGCTTGTAGTGTGTATTGTATTATAATGTACATGGAGCAGGAATGCTTGTAGTGTGTATTGTATTATAATGTACATAGAGCAGGAATGCTTGTAGTGTGTATTGTTGGATAAAGGAAGGGAGTTCAAGTTGTTTCGTGAGAAGGTTTTTGCTTCAACGAGACCTTATTATCATGTGACTTTTACAAACATCTTTAAAGTCGTCTTCTAATTTTTGTCAGTATTTAACACATATTTACTTTGGCAAAGTCGGTATTTTTTTATGTTTATATTAATTGCTTTAAATACAGGGGGAATACAATTACTGTGGAATAGGAAGACGACTGTTAGTTTCAAATTATGATTTTAAATAAATCAATGTATATGAAACATAGCGTTAGGGCAGTTCACTCATGCAGACATATATTTTCCTTGATAATAAAATTTTTAAGCTTCTGGCTAATACTTTTTTTATGAACGCATCAAATACTCATAAGATTTTTTCAAAAATGTAGTCTTCCTATCTTCATATTTTTATGGATTCGACTGTAGCAGGCAACAAAAAGGTTTGTTTGTTTGTTTATTTAATTGTTAGTTTTGTCAAAGAGTTGAAGTTGTCGGAAGTATTTCTTGTTTCTTACAATAATAAGCAGACGTAAAAGAAAAATGGCGCTAGCTTCGTTTCCTTATTCTTTGTCACGAAATTATGAAACAAGAAAAATAACGGTTTAAAATCAGAAAGAGAAGAAAAAATGTAAAAAGAAATTATTTGAAAACTGTAAAAATGGAAGATGTCCTAGTTCAAGTTGATTCCGTTATCTGAAAATGTTCAGGGCGAAAACATTAACTTTTTGGAACATTTGAGGGAGGGAAAAGGGATGAGGGGTATTTTTTCTGTCTAAGTTTTAAGACGGGTCTGTTTAATATCTGAAGAAGAGAATATCGAACCCTGAACTCGTGTTTATGGAGTGTGACAAGAGAACCAGAGGAGAACCAAAACTATATAGGATGTAAACCTTACTCCGAGTATACATCTTCAACCTTACCACGGGTTTACTTATTAAACCTTACTCCCAGTATACATCTTAAACCTTACTCCGGATATATATCTTAAACCTTACTCCGGGTATACATCTTAAACCTCACTCCGGGTATACATCTTAAACCTTACTCCAGGTATACATCTTAAACCTTGCTCCGAGTATACATCTTAAACCTTACTCCAGGTATACATCTTAAACCTTACTCCGGATATATATCTTAAACCTTACTCCGGGTATACAACTTAAACCTAACTTCGGGTGTACATCTTAAACCTTACTTCAAGTATGCAATTTAAATCCTCTATCTACTTTGACACATTTGTAGATATTAGTTGTTTTTAAAGATTAGTTCAGTGTTTCTCAAATATCTATGATGTATTGAAGATATTTTGGAAAGTCTCTATCTCTTATCCATCTCCACTCTATCCACAATGTCATCCATCTTCTGGTCACGAATGAAGGATGAGCCACCATTGTTATTGAGTGGGGGGGCCCCGGGGTTGCAGAAAATATATGAATTGTGAAATGATTTTATTTAGAGATAAATAAGATCCGATTATTAAATTATGTATAAATTAGTTAACACAAATAAATAAATCGAAAAAATGCTTTCTAGATAGACTAATGAATGCAAAGAAATCTATATAGAAATTTGGCTTGTCTGTCTGTTTGTTTGTCTGTCTGTTTGTATACAATAAACGTCAAAACGGCTGAACCGATCGGGCCCAAATTTTTTGTGGGACATCACGTGACCACAGGCAAGGTTTTATAAAAATTAAAAAATTGCGTTTTAAAGGTTTTAAATTTTGTAAAAAAATTTAAATTCTTGAAAATCCGCGAATTTTTTTTTAAAAATCCGCAAAAATTTTTTCTTCTTTGTTTTTAAATCTAAACAAAAAGAACATGTTTGCAATTTAAATAGAAGATGGGCGCAAAGCGCCCTAAAAGCCTAATATAAATAAAAGGCTTTAACAACAAATGAATATGAATGAATAGCTTGACAACTAATGAATATGAATGAATAGCTTAACAACTAATGAATATGAATGAATAGCTTAACAACTAATGAATATGAATGAAAAGCTTAACAACTAATGAATAAGGATGAATGCATTGAAGACATTAATTTGATTTATGAAAACTTATCTTAGCCAACAACTAAGTGACAAGATGAACGTACATGGGAAATTGGGATAGGGGGGATATAAGTAGAAAAGGGAGGGGGGTAGAATTGGGGTTGGAGGAGGTTCATGGGGTAAGAAAGGAAAGGGGGGGGGGTTGACGAAGGATTGAGGGGGGGGAAGCGTAGGGGAAAGGGAACGAAATTACGAAGAAGGATGAAAAACATCATGGTTTTAAATTCTAAACTCATATATCCTGTATTATAGAAAACTGAGGAGCGAAGTGTTGCTGTAGCTGTCCGGATACATCGAACCCTGGAGCTGGCTGACGACAAGTTCTACATCATCACCTGCGGGAAGGCGGGCTTCCAGAACACGCACAACGAGACCAGCCTGGTGACCCTCCAGCTGCTGAGGGAGGGCAGGAAGGTTCAACAGGTCGTCTACGGCAGGGAATACATGCTTAGGTCAGTTCATATGTATATTGGACTTTATTGGACTATGATCTTAATCTTATGGGACCCTTCATTTATAGAGGGGTATATGGTACCCTTTAAAGCTTTGTCTGATCAAGAATGAATGAGCAAATCATGTTTCTCTTTTAGAATTAGATTTATTTTCATTATGGTTTCTAGCTCTATTAGAGTGACTTGCGCATTTCTACTTCTGAAATAATGGAGCTAATATTCAGAATTATTCGAGTTTCAAGCAAGAAAAACGACGAAATCTTTTACATTATTGATCAACCAAGGGTTTAAAGAGTACCATTGTGAATCGGGTCTGTCCCTCTTTCAATGGAGGATCATCTGAAATTACAAGAATAATCTTTTCAAGATGAATAATACAATCGCACAGATTTAATTCCGTCTTTTTTGTAACATTTTTAATTTCATTACGATGACCGAAGTTAACATCGGATTGAAGTTTTATAGAATTAATTCAATTTGTCTTAACCACGAGTAAAAATCTTTTACATTATTTGAATCACTTTGTAAAATTCAAAGATATTGAAGTCTCTTTAACTCAATGAAATATGTTTACAGTCCCTTTAACTTGAAATATGTTTATAGTCTCTTTAACTTGAAATATGTTTACTGTCCTTTTTCCACCCTGAGCAAATTGTGTCTACTCATACCTATATCTGTGTTCTCGGCTATATATGGATAAGGAAACCCATAATATATCGGATGTTAACACTTCCTTCTATCAGAGATGGCTCAGTAGTAAATGTCGTCTTTATGAATTATAATTATTGGTATTTCATATAAGAGTCTATCTTTATCTTTGTAAAAGAACTGAAAACTGATTGTTATTTTTTACAAATGAAGCGATGGGTCTATAAGTGTCAATTTTTTAACTGATTATTTTTTGTTTTAGGGCCCATATCTCCCAACCGGACGGCACCTTCGGAATGAGAGTAAAGAGATGTTTTAGTTTCTCCGATCTGAACTCTACAGTAGAGCTGGTGGATGAGAGAGGGTGTCCTGAACCCACAATTATGTCAGAGTTCACGTAAGTCAATTTCCGTATCATCGTTTCTCCAGGTGCCACATTAGATACAAATCCGTCCTGGTATCAGTTCTGGTTTGCCACTGTGTGTTCGTGCTTGATATTCAAAATTTAAATCAAGAAGGAAGAATTTTTGAAGTTTGGGAATATAGCTCTTAATCTTTTGAATCCGTTCTACTCTGTATGAGTTGAATTTTTCCGGGTAGATTAAAAGACTGTAGGATGTATCCAGCTCCAGTATAGGTTTACTGCTGCAGGTCTGCATACTCCGGTAATTGAATAATTACGGGTCAGGGAGTCACACGTAGCTCCGGGATGGAACGGATTACTGAGAGAAGGGGGGGGGGTGCAGAGGAGAGAGGGGGTGGGGAGAAATCACTAGAATGCATTGACTTGATAAATTATTAAAATATTTCCTCGGGCTTTTGAGCCTGCACTTTTTATCTCTATCTAGATGCAAATTCGGAGATTTTGCATCGGTTCCACAGAACTGATTAATTTTTAGATATTTTAAAAACTTGCAGTTCTCTCTACTGAATACTAAATTGCTTTCGAATCCTTCACAAACATATATTAAAAAAAATACTAAAAAATGAACAATCTTTAAATTTGAAATTAAAATATGGTCAAATTTGAATCCTAACCTAAACCTTAGTCAAATATATTTAAAACAGGAATGTCTAAGATGAATTTAATTTCCTATAAAATTGCATTCTTGAGATCTAGAAAAAGATGGCTGAGCTAGAGTAGACGCTAGAACAATGGGTTGGATCTTTTAGATTTAACAAAAGGATTTATTAATCCCTAACTATACATACCTTTAGTACTAAACCACACACCAAGATCTCCCCCACCCTCTCTCTGCAAGCTTCTGAATTTTGTCTAAACTATGATTACTTCTCGTGAATTCTCTGATATCAATCTGACAGAAAGATGGCTGAAGTCCAGTGATTTAACGGTCAGGCCCCCCCCCCTCCCCTCCCCCTGAACCTCATTTGTCAAAAATCCAGTTTTGACATTTAAACATTCAGAAACATTTTAAACCGAAAGGTTAAGAATGTATTTTTTTACCTGTTTAAACAACGTATTAAACAATTTAAAAAATTTTCATTAATGATTGATAAAAACTTTTATAAATTCAATTTAACAGAATTGTATGATTTAACAGTATTTCCTTTAAAACTATTTCCCAATCCTACCACTCCCCCAGGCGGGAAAAGACTATATAAACATTTTCGAATTCAATTAAAACCAGATTAGAATTCTATTTAATTTGATGATAATTAGTTTGAAACCAGTTCTTTTGGATTCAAAAAGCATAAAATAATGCGTTATAAGCCAACCACTTAAAACAACCAACCCTGGTTAGGCGGTTCCAAACTACATAGTAAATTGTGATTGCTTATTTGTAATATATCATGCTTTGTAGTTGAATAAAAATATGATTGAATGAAGCGTTCAAAGACACACAGTGATTTCATACCTAAGTATACCGTATTATTTTCAAGTTAAAGGGACCAAACGAGCCACCCCTTCGTTTGGGCAAAATCTTTTTTAATGCTGAGAATTGATCATTTTAGAAAATGACAGAATTCGACACTTTTCGAGAAAAACTACAGGTTTCTTTCTTGTTGTTTCTCTCATACAGACGTTGTAAATGAGGGTTCGCTTGAAATATGTTTACAGTCCCTTTAACTCAATGAAATATGTTTACAGTCCCTTTAACTCAATGAAATATGTTTACAGTCCCTTTAACTTGAAATATGTTTATAGTCTCTTTAACTTGAAATATGTTTACTGTCCTTTTAACTTGAAATATGTTTACTGTCCCTTTAACTTGAAATATGTTTACAGTCTCTTTAACTCAATGAAATATGTTTACAGTCCCTTTAACTCAATGAAGTATGTTAGGATAGTATCCAAGCTAAAGGGGAGAAAGGGTGGCCAGTAAAAATATCCCTAATCATTAACAGTGTACATTATTACGTGCTCGTAAAATTCAACCCAAGAACAGAATCGTGCAAACAAACAAACTTTTAAATTGGTTTCTTTGCAACAAATTTTGCGAACGATTTTGTGACGCAGTTAAATAGGATATTGTTAAATAGGAAGCGTTTTATATTGTTGAGAATGATTTATTTTTTCTTTGTCTTTTGAAAAATTATTTAATGATTTAATAAAACTTGATGAGAACAGTATTATGATTAAAGAAACATATGATGCTCTTTTTTAGGAATATCCGAATATTTGTAAAAAGAAATTGTTATGCACCATCGTAAAAGAATTAAGTCTAGCAGTGCCACAAACTCGGATCTCCAAATCCCAATATCTCCGTAACCCATTGTCATAGACTTTAGATATTTCAAGCTATTAATTAGGTGGGATAAAAAATGAGCTTGAAATATCAAACGTTTACACCATCAGGTTGCAAAGAAATAGGGAAACTCAATTTAAGAATTTGCAAAAGCAACAGAGACTGTCAATATTGTATTTTACTGTACTGCAAAAGGGAAGTGTACTGCAAAAATGATTAATTTTTATATACTTGCAGGTACAATAGATCCAGCGGGGCAGCTGAAGCAAAGCTGTTCTCCATGTTTAAATTTCCTGAGAGTAACCGAGTTCATTTCCAGTGTGATATCCTAATATGTAAAGGTAAACAAAAACTTGTTTTTTCAACAATGGAATCTTCAGTTTTCTACCTTTTTTCTTTAATACTTTTACTCTACATTTTACTCATCCATTGTTACTTTTCGTTTTTAATCCTTCCTCTTCCTTACTTGTCATTTTAAATACCCTCTCTTCCGTTGTGTTGCTTCCCCAAATCCCACCCCTAGGCCCCACCTAATCCACCCCACCCCCATCTCAAATCTGGCCCTGAGAAAAATTATGAGTATTTGCAATGTGTATATATTTACAATGCATGATATACCCTTGAACCTACACATTCAAACCATAGAGTACTAAATATACAGATCTAACTGTATTCAAGTCATAGAGGTCTAAATATACCGATCTAGCTGTGCATTAAAGCCATAGAGAACTAAAAGTACAGATCTAGCTGTGTATTCAAACCATTAAGTACTAAATATACAGATTTAGCTTTGTATTTAAACCACAGAAGACTAAATTTCCATATTTAGCTGTATATTCAAACCATACAGAACTAAATATACAGATTTATTGTATATTCAAATCGTAGAAAGCTAACATTTCATGTTAAATTGTTCAGTAAATCCATAGATTATTTTATCTACAGATTCAACATGACATCAAAACTTTAAAGAAGTAAATGAAAGACGATATTTACAGTCTGTGAATTTATTTTTCTATGGTTCTATAAAAACTTTACACACAACCTTGTATAATAAAGCTGATATTCATATTTTCTCATTGTCCTTCCTTAGTATTGTTTAATAATTGCATCAATTAGAACCTTAATTACCCCCCCCCCCCTACGGCCTACCCCCTCCCTTAAACCTTCCATTATATCTTCCTTATTGATTCATTCTGTATCAATTTTGTTCTTCTGTTATTTTTCAATATGCATCCTATTCTTTCTTGATTATTTACAACTCTTTTAAAGAACTGTTCTCCTATTTCAAGATACACACAAAACCCCAGTTTTTTTAATAATTCACCAATTAAGTCAAATTGTGAATTTCGTGAATTAGTTGATTAAGTTCGGGTATTTTATTGTTTAAAAAAAAGTATTTAAGATTTTGAAACATCTTTGAGCTACCGCTTGGCACTGGTCCTAATTTGAAAGTTTGCATTATTCTATTCATTTTCCTAATTTTTTATTTTCCCCTTTTTTAGGAGATTGTCCTAAACCTGATTGCGAGGAAGCCTTTGATTCCAGTCTAACTCCAAAGGTATGATTTGAAAAATGTATCATTCTACAATAGAAATTTACTCAAAAAGGGTTTAAAGGAATTGAGTCTTTGCTACAATGACAAATTTTAAAATTCCTATATCTTTAAAATCTGAAGGTGTATTCTTTCGATATTTCAAACTTATATTATTTGATCCAACACAGTTAATAGTTTAAAATATCAAAGGTCTACGACATTAGATTGCAAAGATTTATATGGGATTACAAAATCAGAGTTTGTGGCAAAGGCTCAATTCTTTTTCACTGATCCTAACTTTTCTGAGAGTAAATGACATTCCTTTGAAAAGAGATTGTTTTATAGCTTGGACCTGCATAAAATTTTTTTTTACATTAGCGGGATTTTACAAAGGAATGAATGTTTATCTGAAATGCTCCTTTTTATCAGAAAGTGTAAAAATCTTTTACATTATTTGAATCACTTTGTAAAATTCAAAGATATTGAATTCCCCCCCCCCCCCACATCTACATCTACGTAAATGATAATGATAATAATTCTACAATTAATAAACTAAAGGGGGGGGGGGCTCGTGCTGGTTAAAATTACTCCGGGTTGTCTGATTAACTCCCTTCAGTTCTAGTTTTCACCCGGATAATGCAATCCTAATCCGGGTAGCTAGCTTAGACTAGACAAGGTTGGATAGGTTCAATTAATGGTTGATAATGTTCTTATTCTTCTCAACCAACGGGGGTTGTCTAAGAAAATTAATTACTCTAATTATACATCACTTGCTGCTATAGTCACATTTGCGCTAAATACAATATTTTACAAATCTTGGCATGTTTATATGGCACTGAAAACATGTCTCCAAAAGAGGGAAAAATACCAATTTAAGATTGAATTTCATGGATTTTTTCGTAGATTTTTATGTTTATTATTTTAATTTTTGAATTGCCGAAAATAAAAGAACCGTAGTAAAAAGTTTTAGAATTAGTATTTTATACTAACAGAAATTCATGCTAGGCCTACATATACATATATTGTGGGTTTATGGTCTATTTAAGCTGCGCTGTCGCTTTATGTTCCGTTGAAATCTTTTTATTTCTGTTCCACGCCATTAGTTTAACGCTAAACTAGACGCTTGAACTGTTCAAAATTCAAGGCGTGCGTCTTAGCTTCCACACCTTTTTAGTGCATGCGCGGTACATCCGTTCTAATCAACGTTGGTTCCGTTGATGAGCACATTAAACTCCAGGAGAGATAAACGCGCAATTTAGTTTCCGCTGTTTAGTACCATTTTAAGCCGGGAGATGGGGTTGTATTTGCCCGGAAATATAATTAATGAGTTAACCTTGATACAAGTTTAATGCTGAAAAATGGAAATGATTTTTTTTTCAAAAAAAGAAAAATAAAACTATTTAGGCTCGATCCCTGGAGGACCCAGTAGCTGATGCACTGACCCAGCCTGTAGATACCGGAGCTCTAATGGCGTCCTACTCCGTGTTTGTCGTGGAACCAGGAACCCTCCCAGGTATTCAGAACAGTCAGAGACAAACTTTAATCCGGCTGGTCAACTCAATTTTGTCTCAAACTCCAATTTCTATCGTTGCAACCTGATATTTCGAACCATACATTATGTTTGATCAATTAGTCAACGTTTAAAATCTTAAAGACTTACAATGCCAGGTTACAAAGATATGGGGCTTGGAAAATAAAAGTTTTAGGTGATTAATAAGAACTCATTGTATTATCAATCTAAATTAAATTTAAAACTTGATGATAAGAGATTTAGAAACACCATTGATGTTGCTTCTTGTAACATTATCGGCATTTTTGGCAACTCCTAAACCTTGCAAATATAAATTATATTGTTGCAAAAACTTCTTTAAAAATTTCTCTGTTCTATTTACTCCTCTGAGCAGATGCAATGAAGCCTAATGATCCTATAGATAGGGCAGGGCACGTTTTTTCATAAATTTATTCATCACCGTTTTTTGCTCCTTAGACGTTTTTCAACGTTAAAAACGTTACTTGTTATTTCAAGTGACCCTCTAGTATGGAAGATATCGTCGTTTTTATAGCTCGACAAGTGTTTGCTTCTGAATAAATCCTCCTTTGAGTGTGAACTGGACATGCCAATACATAAAAGGAGAGTCCTTGAAATTGGGTTAACATCCCTTTTAATCAATTCAATATTATTATTTCTTATTTTTAGCTAAAAACGATTTAGAAAAAAAAAATTTTATTCGGCTTTTCTATTTTTCTTATTTATAAAAATGAGTTGGTGCACCGACCTATCTTCTAATCCTTATCATATATTCTGGATTGTTAAAGGATAATCTCGTGAAAGGTTTCCAGTATGCATCCTTGCACTCAGCATGCATTCAGATTAGCATCATGCACAAACCTTAATATCTAAATGTTCAATATGTAAAGATTCGATCACATATTTAAAGCTTTGACATTTTTAAAGTTTGCATTAATTTACAAAATTTAAACCCAAATTATTGATGATGGTTAACCGGTGATTATCAATATAGAATTCTTGTATAATTATGTTAACATTAATTACAATTCTTGAGAAAATATATTTTAAATTACAAGCCCAGGTTGATAAATGGTTCACGACGATGGTGAAAGAAAAATTGGAAAGGTTCCAACCCCGCCCTTTGATATTTTAGGGATAATTATCTAATTTGAAGTTAGACGTTTCAATTGCACATATCAAAGAAATTAAACTTTTTTATTTTTTCGATATAAGAGAGTCGAATTGAATTAATGTCCATTCAAACCCCGCCCCCCACGGTACCGAATTAAAGGTTTTCATCAGGGTTGTTTTTGCTCCTGTTTTTCTCCAGGTCCTGGGGAGAACTCATCTCTTCGTCTCCGTCCTGAATGTCCGAACTAATTTTGGCCCGTCACGTTCCTAGATCTCTATCCTAGCTTCCTTTTACACTTTACCAGTGTTAAACACCCCCCAAATATACTCCATCCACTTACTTTCACAAACCATATCTCACCACGCCCTCCTCCCTCCCCACTTACTTTCCCAAACCATATCTCACCATGCCTCCCCCCTCCCCACTTACTTTCCCAAACCCTATAATTATCTAATTTGAAGTTAGACGTTTCAATTGCACATATCAAAGAAATTAAACTTTTTTATTTTTTCGATATAAGAGAGTCGAATTGAATTACTACACCTACCTGCTCTTGGATTTATACTTTCTTGGCAGAAGTTTGATTTTACGCCTAAAGGCATTGGACCAAATGGGCTGTAGGCAATATTCATGATTTTTAAGGAATGATGTTACATATCTATATACGGAGGAATTTAGGAGTTAATCCAAACAATGTAAAAATTGGGCTGTAAATTTAACCCTCCATGCAAAGATGGCAATGCCCGATTCACAATGAAAGTGATTTACGCAATTCTACAGCAGGAAAACATATTGGAAATATCAGGATTGAACACTTTTAACCACTAGAAAAACTAGAATATTTTTCACATTATTGATCAGATAAAGGTTTTAATGGTTGTGAATCGGACATTGTCATCTTTGCAGGAAGGATCATTTGGAATTACGCTTACAGTCCCTTTCATTTATTTTATAAAAAGGCTTAAAAGAATAAAGAGAATGAAAAGAATGAAAAAATTGATGAAAAAGTATGAAATGAAATGCCCTGATGTTATTTTTTAAATGCATCTTCTAAACTTTATGTGGCTTCCTACTTGTAAAATGTAAATATACATGTGTATTCTTCTCATGTATTTGGCTGAAATTAATATACCATGGAGCTAGGAGGACTAAGGAGGGTAGGATCGGCCCCCTCCCTCCTGCTTTCATAATCCCTAAAAAATAAAAAATCAGAGATTTGTATAAAATGGGTCACACAACCTCCCCTTGACTAACCTTAAATTGAGTTATAACCTACTAGATTTCAGCAATTGTTTGTATCTGATACAACCCATATCCGCATACCTATACCATACCTGTACTCACTACCCATATTTGTCCAGATTAAAATGCATTCTTGTCATATTCTCTAGGTCCCCCCAGAATCACAGGGGTTAAAAACTGACAACCTTGATTCATCTGTCTGTCCTGTGTCATCCACATTCTATCTTCAAGTCATGTTCATCTTGGGTCATCTTCATTTTCTATTTGAAAACTTTCTATTTTTTCTTCATAATCCTTCTCTAATTCAACCTTATTTTAACATCTTTAAGCTGTTTCATCAAATGTCACTTTTTATTCAATCCTTTCTATAACTTTCTTTCTTCTCTCCGGATCCTAACATAACCAATTCCTTCCTCCCTTCCTTCCCCATCGTAACTTTTCCTTCCTTTCTTCCCAATCTTAACCCTTCCTTCCTTCCTTCTCCATCCTAAACATATCCTACCCTCCATACTCTCTCCCTCCCATATCATTTTCTTCTTCATCTTAACCCTCTCCCCCACTCTAACCCTATCCCTTCTAACCCATCCCTACCTCCTACATCCTAACCCTATCCTTCTCCTCCATTCTAACCATATCCTACTTCTTCTTCATCCTAACCCTCTCCCTCTCCCCCATTCTAACCCTATCCCTTCTAACCCATCCCTACCTCCTACATCCTAACCCTATCCTTCTCCTCCATTCTAACCATATCCTACTTCTTCTTCATCCTAACCCTCTCCCTCTCCCCCATTCTAACCCTATCCCTTCT